ATATATATATATATATATATATATATATATATATATTCATTCTTAGGCACTATACTACATAGTACTACTATACTACATATACCATAGAAACAGCTGTGTTTCAGAGAAATATATCTTATGTAGGACATTTCAAAATAGAAATGTCTGATTATTTAGTTTGCTAGATTCAGAATTTCTACTACCTATAGTTGCACAACTATCTTCTTAATTAATATCAATCCTTTTTAAAAACAAAATACAGTTTGGTGTAACTGCTTAAGGCAGTGATCTAGAAATTGGGAAATATAAGTTCTAGTCCCACCTTAGGTCCATAATTAGCTTTCGGCCAGTGACTTTCTCTTAGTCCTAGGAAGCAAACAATGGCAAACCACTTCTGAAATCCTTTTAACAAAACTGCAGGGACTGGTCCAGGCAATTTCCAAAAGTTAACAGTGATTCAAAGGCACGCACAAACACTCATTTTAAAAAGCGAATTGCCCATTCCACTAAAATCAGAAACATAGTAATGGAACACATGTTTACATTTATAAGATATCTGATTTAGTCTCTTTACATCTGCAGTTGAGTTCCATACCTACCTACCTACCTACCTACCTACCTACCTTCCTTCCTTCCTTCCTTCCTTCCTTCCTTCCTTCCTTCCTTCCTTCCTTTCTTTCTTCTGACCTTGGAAAGCTAAGAGGTTCCATACCTCTTCTGACCTTGGAAAACTATTATGCATCAGTACAGACTTGCATAAACTAATTGGACCCTTTGTATCTTTTACAACCACGTTCAGTGAGGTAATTCTGATTGTTAAAAAAGAAAAGGCATAACTTATCCTACATGCAAACAAGCATCAAACCACCAGGATGGTTACACGAGACAAATAACTATATGTAGTGTCAGCTCATAAGAGATAATACCCTGAAAGAGATAATTTGTTACACATATCTGGGATTGAGCTCTTAAGTGAAAATTTGGGACATTAATCCATAGCTGAGATCATGATAGAGCTGGATGCACGCTTATTGGGATTTGAAAGAACTATTTTTGTGATCTTTGGCAATGGCTAACATGAGCTGTGGGCTGCTGCTCCCTTTCCTTGTTACAGGCTTGATCACTGCTTTCCAAAAAGCACACTCCCACAAAGACATTTTTGCAAAGCTAAGAGTTTTTGTTGACTCCAGCTGTGAAGAATCCTAGGCTTAGCTAGCGCTTATCACACAACCCTCAGATCCTCAGCTTTGGAATGACATAATCAGTGTGAGTGGAATTTAAGCCAGAAAGACTGTATCAAATCATATTTTCTAAACATTAGTTATATATAAATCTGAGTACTTTCATTCATATAATGAGATTGCTTAACCAGAAAAGGTACACAATGCTGGCTTGACTACTTTAAATAAAAACAGCTACATCAAAACAAGGACAGTCACGTAACTTACAGAAATCAATTTTAATAGTAAATAAGGGGTCAAAATGAAGAATTATATTGATATTGGGATTTTATTTTTAAAAAGGTTCTTGCATCTTTTTTAAAATTGAAATGATTTCAAAATCAGTCATAAAATGAAAAACCAGGCTGATATATAGTTGATATTGCACATCTCCATATAACCTTTCTGAGCTTCTTCTGTAACTTATTTTGTCAACTAATAGAAAAGAAACCCCCCCATATTCCTCAATTATTAATTTGAAATAGTTTATTAAAAGATGAGGATGAAGAGAATGAATGAGATAAATATTTAAGAAAGTAACATCTTCCAATTACCACTATGAAGTGGTACCACTATTAATTACCACTATTAAATATCCATAATCTTTTAGGGAGTATATGGATGTATTCGTAAAAGATTAATATATTTTTTTAAAAAAATAATTGTATTGTATTTATGCAGCCAATTATGAATCTTCTATTTAAATATGCTGTATATATGAAATCTCTAAATATTTTTGTACATAATTTTCCAGAAGACACATACATAATAATTTTCCTATGTACACATTTTCTTAAAAAGTATCTGGTCCATGTTGTGGTGTAATATAGTTTCTCAGACTATATGCAATTTTATATATGCAAAATCAACAAAATAAATCACAAAATTTACAGAAGTGCAAAAAGAGAATCCTATTGCTCTGGTATAGATGTTTATTTGGGAAATGCACATCATATCAGAGTTCATATTTATACAAAAACAAACCTCATTTTATTGCCATCACTTTCTTCGGCTAGACATAAGGAGTAAAATGAGAATTTTCCATTAATTATTCAGTGTTTTATTGCTGAGGGACTTCACTGACAAGAATAATAGTACCTCTAAACAAGATGTTTAAAAAGATCTTTCTTCTCTTTAAAACTAGCAATAAAAATAGGTTCAATATGTCTCAGTTGATTTAATCAGATTAAATGTACTTTATATATCTCAAAACCTGATTTTACTGGCTGGATATCTTGTGGTAACTATACAATTGGAGCCAGCAAGAGAAATTCTTTCACAATAGGTGAGATTTAGTGGATGTAATAATAAACAATTGTAACTCTTATACCACATATAAAAATAGTCCTTGATTTATAACTACAATCAAGCCCCAGATTATTGTTGCTGAGTAAGGCAGTTATAAAGTAACTCGTGTCCCATTTTTTGACCTTTTTGCCACATTTGTTAAGTGAATCATGCAGTTATTAAGTGAATCTGATTTCCCCCACTGACTTTGCCAGTTGGAAGCTAGCTGGGAAGAATATAAATGCTGATCACATGACCTCAAGACAGACCAACTGTCATAAATACCTACCAGAAATAATTTTGGTTACCAGATACTAAGTAGCCTAGTCGCTTTACTTTAAAAAAAAAAACATATAATGTACTGGTATCACAGAATTACCCACTTCCTTTATGGTTTCCCCATCTAATTTTTTTTTTAAACTGTTTTGAAACTTTTTTGAAAGTAGATTGAAGGCTCAATTATCCCACTTCTATAACTTTGCATAGTGCTAATGCTCAAAAAGTAGAACAAGAATTCCTTCAAGGGAGAAGAAACTCTGTAAAATCGATTTAATGACTGTTGGATGATGAATACATTTTTTTTAAAAAAAGAAAGCAAATATATAAAACACGAAGCTTCATGATGAGTCATTGTGAGGTACACTGTGTTCAGTGACTCCATAGAAATAAATCACACTGTTTGCAAGTGATCTTACAAGCAGGCAAGTGACGTAGGATTGTGGTTTAAATGCTAATGTATTAAAAGCTAAAGCAGAAACTTCCTTTGCAGTTTTAGCACTAGACCCGGTTGATGGTGGTCTGTGAGAATATCTATAAACTGCATGGGGTGATTTTTTTAAAAAAATAAAATAAAATACATAACAATAATGTATTCCAAAAGTGAATAATCAGGATGTCTAATAAATCCTCCAGCATAGCTAATGGGTCAGTTCTTTACCAGATTTCTTTCTTTCCCAAGTGTTGGAGATAAATGTCTTTTAGTTCCATCAAATGTTTATGGGATATTTTCTTGGTCATCCCTCCCTTCAATTTCTGCAATATGGGTAAGAAACTCTGAAGTCAAAGATTGATTTCAGAGTAATGTATTGGAACAACTTGTTCCTAAAATATAAGCTTTTTGACAGGACAGTAGATACTTAACAAGTTAATGGAAGGATAATCTTGCCTTTGCTCCTTTCATTGGTTTATTACCTCTATCTATCTTATATATTCCATCCCAAATCATTATATCATTATCTATCCTCTATCATAAATACATTAAGTATGTATATCTAATTTTAGAGCACTCAGCAAAAGGAAATACATTTCCAATTCTTCCTTGGGTTTTCCTATAAGTGCATTCTGATTAATTGGAGAGTCCGATCTCCAAAAAAGTGACTGTTTTGTTAGACCTCCATCAAATACACATGGGACACCTTGTAAAGAAAAGACTAAATATTTCCTACTTTGTGGAAAACTTAATAAAACCAAATTCTAATCTTAAATTTTATAGTAACATCAAGAGCATATAATAAACATTCTTTACATTACCTGTAGAGATAGAAATATCTCCTGCTACCAGTTTTTCTCAGCTCATATAGTATTTGAAGTATTTGCCCATGGGCCTCAACTCATGTGTTCCAGGAGATTTCTGGAATTTAGAATTCTCAGAATAAGTTAACTCCATGGAGTCTAATCTACTCCGGATTTATTAGTAGAATGACAGACCATAAACTCTAGAAACACATCCCCGATGGCATCATTAACTGATGTTTATTTATGTATTTATCAGTTATATTTTGGCAAATGACCCCAAATATCCAAATTCAAGGAAAAATATGTATACCAAAATAAAATAAGAACATAAATATAAACAGATGATGATGATGATGATGATGATGATGATGATGATGATGATGATGATGACAATGATGATCATCAACTGAAGAGAAGAGCCTCCTAAATCAGTTATAGATTCTGACATTCTAAAAGAAATTGCAGGGCAAATCTCACTACCACATAGGGAAAAGTTTCCAAGTCATGTATTCATTAGAAAATAATAGAAAAATAAGCCCCTTCAGTGATTGAAAGAAATGGCTAGAATCTTGTGGGCTTGGGCATCCTTTAAATTTTCAACTATTTATGGGCTTAAATGTGTTTAGTACTTTCATTTAGAAATACACTGATGTAGAATGAAGTCAAGGACCAGAACAAGAGCAGGTTCCATTTCAGGAACATTCCAATGAGAATGTTTTTGAATATGGTGGGATATGATCAACACAGACTTGATGTTGGTTAAATCTATCTTGTATATGAACAAGAAAAATTCATAGTAGACAAAGCTGAGTGATTGTATTGCAAATTGAAGCCATCATCTAAAATCTTCAAAGAAAGCTACATCAAAGACATCCCAAACAGATAGGTTGTTTATGAGATCTAGGAAACTGCTAGATAGCAACAATCAGATGCAGAAAATTCTGATGTCTTCTAGTTATAATCCAGATTTTTGCAGCTCAGATTTACAATATAATCCCTCGGGGTCAGAGGTGCCTTTCATTACTACGGAGTCTATTCTTCTGAAATAGAAAAAAAAGTTATTTTATCTTAATCTTATTTAAAAACACCAACATTTACTGTACATAGCTTCTTAAAAGCTTACATGGGAAGTGGATATTAAGCAGAAATTTATCCATATATTTTTTCTCTGGATCTGCACATCACAAAGGAAGCAGATAGGTTTCCCAATTTTTTATTTTAAATGAGCATGGGAAGCTCCTCAATGGGAAACTAATCTCACTGTTGGCTCCTTCATTTATAAATATTGGTGAATCTTGTGCCATGAATGTTCCTTCTGGTGTTACTCTTTGTATATGAAGTATGTCCATTCTATTTCTCTTCCCAGTACTCCATGCTATGTCGCTTGCTATTTGGTTTGATGTGGAGCTGATGATGGATTGAGGCCATAATAGCTAACTCTCTCCACCTATGTCTGTCTGTTGTCTTTGATGGTGTCATTTCATGTCTCTTGCTAGTGTCACCCATATCTCTGAAGTGAGCATATGGGTTGTGTTGGTTATCCCTATTTCTTTTTATTTATTTTTGTAGACGTTACCCTGGTTTATCTGCTATTTTACTAACTCTGATTTATTGTTTTCGCTTTTTCCGTTCTTTTGCTAACAAAGTTGAGTTGACCAAAGCTGACCTGCAAGGTAGAGAAGGCTTTTGTTTCCTTGCCAGTTTGACTGAGTTACCTTTTAATGTAACCTTTTATATATCAGTATCTATATTTCTTATCAATGCAGTCACATCTCTAAGGCAAAGGGATATGAATTTTCTTCAACTTGCTAAGTTGGAGAATGGGGTGGTGAGGATATGGAGGGGGGAGAAATGTTCACTAAGGTTTTTGGGATAGCTTGAGAGGTTTGACTGTATCTCACCTTAAGAATATCTATAACTGCATGGCTTGATTTTCTAAACAAAAAAGTTTAAAGTACATGAAAGTAGCACTGAATGCTTGATTCCTAAAATCAAGATGTGGAATAAGTACTTTAGCACAGTGTAATTACTTACAAGGCAATCCTATGATACAAGAAATTCTTTTTCCAATTCTCTGCTCAATCTCATTATGATTATGAAATCCAATCTGGAAACATATATGAGGGGGAGATGGAAAAGGTTTAGAGAGGGATACTTGACCACAAATATTAGAAGGGTAAATTAACTTCTTCATGTTATGCTAGGGGTGAGATGGAAAGCTATTGCACAACAGTGCAAACATGTTTTAAGGCACTTTTCCAGCCCTGATTCTTTGTTCTATCTCTCTCACTTAGTATTTTTGCACATTCACTTGGAAATGTGTACTCATTATATAATTTTAAAAAAACTGATGAAATTCTGATTGGGCTGTTCCAGCTGAAGTGCCTAGAGCTCAGGTCTTGTGGTTCTACCTGAGATAGGTTTGATTTGATGACTCTTGAGAAAGTGGACAGGGTTCTCTGTATGGTGGGTTTGACCGCCTATTTATTAGAGCTTCCTGAGTTATGGGATGACCCAGAAGGTAAATGTAGATGGGCTCATTTCTTTCAGAGAAAGGCTGATGCCATCAGCATTGAAGGAGTTGGTGGTGTGCACACTCATCAAAAGGTCATCTAATTATCATTTTGTTTCCAGTTGAGATATTTTTACCAGCACTTGCAGATAATCCTGGTGGAAGTAGATTATTTAGAGTTGTTTCAGTCAGATTTCAGCCCAGACTTCAAACACAGAGACAGCTGTCAGTCCTGCAAGTCCTACAAGCTAAAGCAGATGAAGAAACAAATTTAGACCAGGATTATGTATATTTATAGTAACAGACTCTTCCAAGTCTGAATGAGCTTCCCTTTCCCTCACCTTATCAAAATGTGAACTAGACAGGAACCTGAGACATTTTCACCAAGTAGTTCCTTGGATGGCTCAAGGTTTTCTTGTCTGATTGGTAATGACTTTTTGCCTTATCCTTCAAGGTCTATAGCACAGCATTGTTTGTGTAATTGATGATATTTGATGGAGCCAGAGGTGCACCCATCTTTCTGCTTCTTAATCTCTCAGAGCATTTGATACTGACAATAATGGTATCATTCTGAACTGGCAGCAGGTCGAGATATGATATGAGTTTGATTTGTGAATTGAGGTAGCCTTTATGGTGCTACTCTTCATTTCTTTCTGGCCAGTTCCAGTTGTGGCTGATACAGTTTCACACATTGTACTGATTGCCAGTATGCTTCTAGGTACGATTTAAAGTGCTTCTTATCCCCTCTAAAGACTTTCCTGGCATTGGACCAGTTTCTTTGAGGAATCCTCCATAGCTTCTGCTTGGCTAATATGGATTGAAAGAGTCGGGACATTCTGGTCCTTTTGATGAAACAATGCTATCTATCAAGAAACATGCCTCTGGTTTGTGGTGCCTGCACATTGAAATGGGTTTGATGATGATGATGATGACCAGTGCCACCTCAAAGTTGTGAAGGAGAAATTTAAAAATGATCTTTTGTATAGCATCATTAAATTCAATATCAGTAAATCGTATCCGTAAGAAAAAAGAAAATAAGCAATGAGAATAAATTCTAATGGATGAATCAATGGAAAACAACACTTGTAAGAATTACCCAACATGATTACTTCTTTTTTTGCAGTTTATGACTGTATTTTGCTTTTTTTTTTGCAACTGCATCACACTATAGGCTCATATTCAGTTTCATCCTCAATTCCAGTCTATCAGGAATCTCATACTGATTGTATTGCATCACTTTGGGTTCAGAATGCCCTGTGTTGTCATACTGATAGAGAAAGAAAACAAATACTTCACTTGTAGACAACCATAGCTAAACTAGACAGGGACATGAGTCCACATAATTTACAATTTCTTGTTTCTGTATGTCCACTTTGTATGTCACTGGAGAATATGAAAATAGTTCTAAGCATTCTGGTAAATGCATTTTCAAAATCTGATGTTAGACAAATTGTAGTGCTGAATCAAAAAACTTTGGTAGCTATCTTGAGTTTAATGTTTGTTTATTTAATTCTATTATATAATATTAGAGTTATCTAATATTATTTACAGCCATGTTTGACCTGGACAGTAAATTATGGTGGCTATTTTGGAATTTTGCATTTTTTATACTTTTATTTGCTGGCAGCTCCTTGTGTGATTTTTTTTCTTTAAAGCTCTGTAAGATATTTCTTTAAATAGTGCGTTTGAGAGAAATTCACATAGTTGGATGATTTTAAATGCAAACAGTGTTTCCATAAATTTTGACATCTAAATTGACTCTTCTGAAATCTATATCAGATATGACATTCTTTGCATAATGTAGCATTAAGACTTTAATGTTTTATTAGGTGAAGAAAGCAGAACCAGAAAGCATTTATAAAAACAGCATTTCTGACACCCTGTACAAAGTTTGAAGAAATATATTATTTAAATCCTTTTCTCTTCAGTGCACATCAGTCAGCTCCCTTTTGCTTCTGTCATGAACTGCCAATCATAAAGCAGCTTTTCTTTACTTTAGAGTGTGTTTTGTTTTTGTGGGGGGAGGGGATTAACCTCTTACTTTTTGTGGCACGTCTATTGTGATAGTCAAATGTCACAAGCAGGGGAGTTTTGACCCTAGTAGAGAAAAGAAGCATCTGTGGTAGATGTTCTCTTAGCAGGAAGGATCTGTTGCTTGGTGAGTGCCAACAAGGAAAAGCAAAAATAATATTTATACATTTGACTTATGACCAATAAAGAAAGGTAAGCTAACTCCTGTTATATCCCTATTGAAAATTGGAACTCTTAGCATTCCCACGAATCCTAGAATTTCACTTCATTTCCCCCTTTTCCCAGAGATTTTAAATCCACGTGAAGTCCTGATTCAGACACACAATCTTGATTGGTTGCTCACCTTAGAAGGCTTTTTTCCCCAGATATGCATTGTAAAAGATTCTCATAAATGTATTTGAAACATGTGAATTGTAATTATATTAGGTGATTAGTCTGCAATTAACTGGCAAGTACTTTCAAGCTGATTTAGTCAATCAAATTATGTGAGCGTTCCTTCAAAACCTCCAGCAGGTATCTTACAAGAATAAACCCCAAAAGCATGAAATATGTGCAGAGATATACATGCAATGTGTTTTTTTTTCTTTTTTGAAAATTCAAGTTATTTACATCAGCCCCATGGAAGTTCTATTTTTTTTTAATGTGTATCATTTTAATTGCACCACAGTAGCTGGGACCTTCACTTTAATGACATGCTGTGGACCTTTCTTACTAAATTGGAGATGCATTGGAAACTGGAGTTTCTCAGAGTAGGAATGCCGATCCTGTCCTTAAGCATTTACTGCTTAACACTAAGCATGAGAAACTCAAAGCACAGAGCCCCATTAAGCAGTGAAAAATCAGGAAGGACAGCAGCCAATTTAAAAGGCAGAGGGCATGTGAATGGTCCACATCCCCATGTTAGTAGAGGACAATCAATTGCTTTAAGTGGATTCATTCTAGCATGAAATAAAGACACCAAGATTTCCACCCAGTCTTGTAGTATAAGGTATCTAGCTAGTTTCTCCAAACTTCCAGCCTGTCAAAGGAAGGACTCTAATCCAACAAGTGGCCTATTTAGATTTACCACCCAGTTATACATGGAAGAGAGGACTTAATGACCGAAACTATCTGCTCTCAGTTTTCTTGTTGCAAACATGGGATGGCACTTTGGAGATTTGTGAAAGTTTGTAGAGGGATGCTTAAAAGGGAAGATTTAAACTTCCACAAATGTGACATTTTTCCTACCAGAATTAATATAAGCCAATGTAACTCTCAGCTTGACTAACTTCATGTAATATACTGTAAAATTTCCATGATATATTCCAAATAACAGCAGTATATGCTGCTCTCATTTTAAAATTCAACATGAATAAAAGGCATAAGGATTCTCTTGAAGTGCCTTAGGTAGTATTGACCCAGGTGGAGATTCATTTAAGGAGCTGCGTCTTGTCACTGATTAAAAATATGTGTGTGTATATAACCTATACTGAATGCAGTAGTTCACTTTCCATATCAACCACAGATGAGACACATTCAGAGCCTGTTGAGGAGCATATTTTACAAATCAGAATGAAAGACAGTGAAAGATTCTGAGGATCTGTTTAGAAATCACTCCAAAAAGAGAGAAAATGACTTAGCACCTCCTAACAGAAGATCACTGAGCTAATGATTTAAAAAGATCACTGGGATATTGCTTTAGATCAGTGGTGTCAAACTCACATTGTCATGGCATCGTCACAGGACATATCATGACTTTCCACCCCCTTTGTTAAACTGGGCCTGGTCATGATTATCTGGCCCGTGTACCAGGAGTTTAAGAGTCCTGCTTTAGACCTTGTACACCCTTTGTTGCAGACCTCTTTAGCAACAACATTCTTTGTTGTAGACTTCTTGTGCAATCCTTTGTTGCAGACTTCTATTACATTCTTATAAGAATAGGCATTCTTACCTCACTTCCAAATGCTATGTGTCATCAGGTGGTGACCCTTTGAGAACTGTAGGCAACAAAAAATCATTTTAATGTATGACAATTAGTGTACATTCAAAGTGACAATAAAATTATTCTAAGTTCTAAGTTCAAGGTAAAGCTTAGAGCAGTTGGACTACAATGCTGACACATGTGTAGCTCCAAATGGTTCTACTAGTTTCTTGAAGGATTATTACATTGCCTAACCTGTTCTCCCTTTCCTCAATACATTTTTAGCTGTGAGGGAGAATGAGAACCCTGGCTTCTGTAGCAACTTTCCCCCTCATTTATAGATATATTGGTTGACTATCAACTCTTCAGTGTAGAGAATGTGCAATCCAAAATTGGCTCACTTATCACTGATTTAAAACATGGAGTTGGGATTGAAAAAAATGTTGTCTAATATTTATTATTTATTTATTAAATTTATGTGCCGCCCATCTTACTGTCAAGTGACTTGGATCTAGAGCCCAGTTGGCCAGTCAGAAATTGTTTTAAAAATTCTTTGTAGCATCTAGGGATTTTTCAGTTGATACAAAAGAGTTGTTTAATTGAACCATAGTTTCAAGAATTTTTGTTAAAAAAAACCAATTGGTCTATGGCAGGAAAAGAAAGGGAGGGAGGGAGGTTGCAGGGAATAAGATAGAGCATTTTGCATGTCAAGTGGAGGATATTTTGTCATGTGGTTAAAAACTGTTGGTTGGTATTGAAATTTCCATGAAAAGAACCATGACCATAGAATATTGAGTGGATGCATGAAGATAGCATGCTGTGGTGACAGCAAGATTTAGACTAGCATGATTTCCTTCCAGGATAGAAGGGAATATGACAAAGTAGCTATATTGATGTTTCCGTATCATCTTTCTACTTATTATTCACTTGATCCCTATGTCAAAGAAATTTTATCTCTGCTTTGTAGATTTGACAACATTGCTAAAGAAGCAAAACTGTTTTTTTTTTCCAATCATGCCACAATGGGTAGTGGTCCATTTTGATAGATGAATCTCATAGGATACTGCTAATTAATTATATCCAGATATTTCACCGGTATGGAGCAAGTCAAAATTATTTCTTGTTCATCTTAAATCCTCAGTCTTTGTGCTACAGTATTTAAGAGGATAGAATAGAAGTATCCACTGGAGTAGTACGTGAAATGCTCATAAAATTAGTAGTTACTGCTTGCAAAGTCCAGATAGAACTATAATTAATTTAGTATAACCAAAACAGACATGTGTCAGAGACATTTTTCTAAAAGCCTCTATGAGATGTTCAGAATTATTGGTACAGAGCTAAAGTTCTTATTTATGATGGCATTTAATATAATACAAAGGAGAAAATGGAACAAATAAAGGAACAAATTAGAAAGAGCTGACATTTCACCAGATCCTATTAATTTTTTCCCCAAATATCAGCAGAATTTTTTTGGGGATGAGGGAGTTTTGGTAGGCAAATTTGATTTATTAATCTGATTTATTTAGCTACCCAAATCACACACAATGATGTCCACCTCATAGAGGTGTCAGCATTGTCAACCCATGTTTCTACCAAATTCCCTAGAAAATAGCATGTAAATAACAATCCCATTATTTATATATACATAAAAAAAACCTTAGGAAGATGGATAAGCTGATGAATCAAGTTGTTTAACTGAGAATAGGAGGGATGTGATAAGTCTTTTTGGAGGAAATAGTACTTATTATAAGCATTTTTTTTCCTGACCCTGCCAAGGAGGGAATATGCTACTTTTCATACCTTCCTTCTGCTGTGTACAAGTTACCTGTTTGTTGCTGAGTGTTTAATTCTCCATGTCTTTATGTGTCCTGAATTTCTGTGGCATGTTCCATGAAATGGAAAAGCATACAGTTTCTTTTTGCGGGGGAAGGTGGACAGGGGGCTGCATGAAGATAAGTATTCATAATCCATTATAATGTCTCTTTCTTAGTAGCTACACTTTCTTTCATGCATTTCTTGCTATACCATTTCAGGACCAAGCACCACCTGTCAAGAAGATTCCTGCGCCAACCAAGGCATCTGTATTCAGCAGTGGGAAGGCTTCACTTGCGATTGTTCCATGACATCATATTCTGGAAATCAGTGCAATGACCGTGAGTACCACTTTTTACAATAAACCAAATTGTTTACAAGGGAACCAAGAACCATTTAGTGTGTGGTCTGCAAACTTGCATGGATTCTAATGTTAGAGTTGTCTGGTGAACTTCCTGGGAAATTAGCTTATGAAACTGGATTACATAAGAGCAATGGAGAGTTTTTATTTTCTCTGAGTTAGTACAAAAGTGTATGAGTGCATTCTGTTTTCATGTTTAAAGACTTTTTTTTAAAAAAGGCATTGATGTTCTTTTTATAGCAACCAGTGGGAACTGTATGTACCAGACAATAATAAGAGCTTTGCTAAGAAGTACATTTGCTTCTTAAAGTTTTTCTAATCGTCCTATTCATGTGTAGCCTTTGCTAAATGCATGCAAAACTCTAAAGTTTTTAAATAGACATCTGGAAGCTTTACTGGTTCTGCAATATGCATTAGTACATTGTCTGCATTTTAAAAGCTAAATTCTTACACACTATATGTTTTTCAAGCAAACATTTACCCAAAAAAGTGATGCATTAAATCAGAATTTAACTTGGGAAATGGTCCATCGTGGACATGTAATGAGAGAACAGATTTCTTTATTGTTAGAAATGTAGGATGATAATACAACATATATTTATCATCATTAATAATGTTGATATAACATTAATATACAGCATATATTTATCATCAAGTTGTATCAAGTTGACATGGAACACTATACCTGAATAGCCTTTCAAGCCTGTATAATTTTTCAGGTTGGAAAAAACATGCATAGAAGAAGCTCTGTAGCTCAAACAGATAATCTGTCTATGAGTAGAGAAGGTCCTAGGTTAAGTCCTTACCATCTTTATAGAAAGATCAGTTAGCAAGTGATGGGATCTGAGTTTATAGAAAACACCAAAGATATTCAATATCTTTTGGGCTTGGACCACCATATTTTGAATTTATAACAATTGTTTTAATTATAACAATTTGGAAATTGTTTTCCAAAATAGGCTGTTGAATTACCCAGAAAATACTCTGATACTGTTACAAATTTAAGGAAAGAAGTAAGCTCACTTTTATATATTTTACTCTTAATTTCTAGTAATCAAGGGAGTATGGTACATGGAATTGAAGAAGTTTAAAATCATACATTAAAAATAATTATCAGAAGGATAATTATCAGAAGGATAATATGAAAAGGATACATTTTTTTGAGATTTTTCTAAATGCAAAGGCAGTAGGAACCACACAACAGACGGCTTGGGTGCTGGATATAAATACTAGCTTCTGCACATTTTCTATAGATACTAAGGACTATATAAATTTGCAATAAAGAACTGGTTTCTCAGATAATCCATCCATTATCCATTGGAGGTTTAAAAGTTACTGTCAAGGATGATGTTTACTAAGTAAAATGTATTGGACTTGGGAAAGGTTAAATATCCCTTTCTACCTTCCTGTTTTCCTCTGAAGAAAGAAATGTGTGTGAAAAAAGGTCAAGCATTTCATGTGTGTTCTGCTTGCAAGATAGGGTTTGTGTTAAAGGAAAGTAAACAAACATTTTCTGTTTTTACAATAACTCAAATTAGTAGCTTAAAGTATATCTAAATATCACAATAAGGAAACATTTCCATAATGTTTCAGTATGAAAATTATTATATATGAATATAGATGTTCATGTTGTAAAATGCCAAAGAAAATTTTAGCTTTTAGATAAAGCTAGGTGGAAAAAGTTGGTGGAAAAGTAACTTTGCTGTTAGAAATAAATGTAAAAATGGGAATCTGGCCTGTAGGTATTTATTAACTAAGTTAATGCATTTTCTGCCTGTCACTATCATATCCCCTTAGAATTCTTTAATATAATAGAGCCCACTTAATATATGATTTATTTTATGTGATAATAGTCTATTAATGATTTTTTTCTAAAAGACATGATAAGACAACCAGTGTATAAATACGTAATACAAAGCTACACTTATAAAGCTGCATTTAAGTCATCTGCATTGGAGAGCTTTTAACAACATAAAATATTTTACGTTCTTCCTGCAGTTAATAAAATAGTTCGCCCATTTTAGGTGGCCACTTATAAATCAAATTAACCTCAAGTTTTCAGCAAGCCAGCCTCTGAGCCTAGTGTGAGATTTTCCTTAAAGTTCAGGAATAAATGGCTAGAAATGACATCCAGAGAGTAAATTGAAATTTAAAAGCCAATTAAAAGGACGGTTTATATTGTTTAAAATATCTGTAATAACATGTGCTGTGTATGCAAGAAACATGTAGGAAAATTGATTTGCAAATAAGTTAAAGGGAAAGAAAACACAGATAAAGTTTAGAAAGAGAAACTTCCGAAAGCCTTCCTCTTCTTATGATGATTTTGTGAAAGTGGATGGATCTAAAGAAAGGCTTGCTCATTTTTGTTGTTTATAAGCAACTGTGAACTGCCATTAGTTGTGCAGCTATGATCTTCATACTTTTGATTCAGAAATGTTTATTGTGAGATACTGCCTCCTCATGGATCAGAACAGGTAAGTTCAAGCTGATTGCTCTGAACCTATCCAGCTGAGATCAAAAAAAGGTATGTGCTGTTACTTATATTTATAATGTATTGGGTGTGCAAGAGCAAATTTTATTCCTTTCCATTTTGTATTATATTCTGAAGAACAAATAAAATTCATCCATTAATGTTCAGAGGCTACTATGACCCAAAGGCTAAGAGAACTATGCAAACTATTCTTGGAGCTCAGAAGAATGGCCATACTGATCCCTTTCTAAGAATGAGGAAAATAACTCCATAAATATTAATTTACAACCCAGGTTACTATGTGTTGTTAAGGTCTCTATGTATCCATAATGGACTATGCAGTAATAAAGGTTATTGAACAATTTGGAGCTATCAGACTTTAGAGGGATTTGTATAATATGATCTAGGTATATTTGAAATTAGACTTCATGTACAACTTTATGGAGTTTTAATATATGTCATTCTGTGCAGAAATATAGACAAATGATTGTAGAGAAAGAATATTCATTTCTATGAGACATTCTGGCTCCTTCTCCAGTTTTCCCAATATTCTACAAGTAACTATGATGTATACCTTTCTCTTCCTTTAAATAAACATTTGTGAGATGATAAATAAAAAAACTTTCTAAAAAACAGGATGTAAATTATCCCTAAGAAATTAGCCAAATAATATATTATTTATACTTTATTGAGATAGCTTTAATGTAGTCTGCCTTTTTTCCCCTAATAAGTAATTAAGAGTGAAAAACAATACAAAACAATGATTTGTAGCTTCCTAGATAAGGACTGAAGTGTATATTTATTTTAAGAATGATTTTATTAAATTGTATAGTTGATGCAGTACTTATTCTATCTTCCTCAGGAATGCAAATACATTATATACATATATTTAAATAAAATTACTTGGAAATTGAACTTAAGTCACGGTGTTATCTGCAATTACTCTTGCTGCTAGTTAAGTGTTATAGTAAAATGGAGTATTTAAAGTAAAAACTTCAGGAGCTTTTTCCTTGCAATAGATCAGTTGCTGTTGGAGACTCAAGTATAGAGTGAAAACTTTTTTTCAACATAGTTGTTATGGAATAGCAAATGGGTGGTCATTAATTTTATTTCTATATTACTGTTATTCATATTAATCTTTAAATTATAGATGTTAACACAGTATTGACTGGTCTTTATAAAACAAGTTTTAATTCATCCATAAAAAGCATAATGCGCTTCTCTCACATATAAAAGCTCACTTTTTTATTTTTGATTGAATTCATATCTGGAAGACTTTTCTATTTCTACTCAAAGTTATTTAAGGAATTCCTGTATTGTATGTCAAAAATTTGTACCCTACATCATCCATCTCTAACCTAACATTCTCTGGATGAAATAGAGTTATAATTTGTAAAATTCCTGGGTAGGATAGCTTTAGCTGGGAGTCATAGTTTAACTATACAGTAGTTAGAAGGGCCATTCTCATTTCTGTTTCCTATATCAGCGTTGCTTTCTTCAAATCATATAAGAGTAATGTGAGATGTACACCCAAACTTTAGGACAAGACAGGAATAACTTGGAAGCCTATTATATGTCTGAATTATTTTTCAAGAACTTTATATTACTTCTAAAAATGAAGAAACATTGAAACAATAGAAACATTCAGAGAACATCTATCGTTTTGTTGTATGTGTATGTGGGTACATGAGAGATAGAGGATTGCATTAAATCAAAGGCACTCGTGTTCCTTATGTCCAAGGTTGCCATTTTAAACTTGCTTTCTGGATGATTTATTTTCAGTAAAACTTCATAGAATGGTTTCAGGAGGGTTTTTTTTTTGTCTGTATCGTTATCATTTTTATTGACTTAAACAAAATGGACATTCCAGACCTGTGACATTCACACTGAGGACGGATGTCCCTTTTTAATATGATTTCCTTTACAACTCTTGTAATATATAATGCACAAATGGCAATTAATGTATATTTCTGAAGGCATTCAGTCTAGTACAGAATTATTGACATTGCTTCAGATTCTAGACAGTGTATATTCCTATTCATTTTAGAATTTACTCAGCAAGCTGTTTCAAGATCAGAACGGTAGTCAGGAATTCAGTTTGAATGAAATGTGGATCAACGCTGTATAAAAGTAATGTAAACGCCTTCTACTTTCAATGCACAATAGCTTTTTACCAGTACCAGTACCACACTATAAAATTGTCTCAACTTACATCCTAAATTTTCTTGATAGCCTTGGATTCTAGCATGATGGTTTTTATTATTTTTACTACTATTTTAGAGGGGAGGATGAGGTAACCTTACTTTGATAATAAGATCAATGAAGCTCAAGAAATAGCCCTTCTTTCTCTCTGGCTAAACATAGTAGTAACTGTCAACAGCTGCAAAGAATGTGGATTGGAAGCAACCAGTTCTGATGCAAGTCCACTTGTGTTGCTAATTCTGCAGAAATTACAAACCAGCCTTTTCAAAAGAATGAAAAATTACATCAGAATATAGCTTATTTCCAAGGTTTATTAGGTCTCTTTCACCAT